TGTAAAGGAACTGGAAAGTTGTGTCCTGTGGAGTTGAGTTGGAACTGGTAGCAGTCCTTCTAGCAGGTTTTTAGAGACAGTGTCAAAACTTCAGAGTGTTCAGTATTCTTTGCTGAGATTAGACTGTTTTTCAAATAATTACCCTTCAGATTATTGTAAGCCTTTCATTAAGTTCATGAATTCTGAAAAAGTTGATTTTTACTTTTTCCAGCATTCTTAAGGAATTAATTAATTTTCAGAAGTCCTGACATTACCTTTCTGGTAGTTTTTCCCCCAATATTTGTCTTTAAAGATAATGGGGTTTTTTTGAAGGGGATAGGGAGCATATTGTATGCTTTGCCTTTTGAAAAATATTGTCCGACGATTTCTGGTTTTTATTTAGAATGATGAATACATTATTTTCTTAAGTTGTCCATTGGTTGCTATAAAATACCATCTTGCTGTATGTCCCTTTGGATTTCTCTTATCATCTCTTTCTCTGCATTCATTTTAGAAAGTTGTTGGGCTTTCTAAAGCCCTTTAAAGGGTGGTAGCATTTGTGAAATTGTGACGAAGAATTTTTAAAAGCAGTCTTAATACATATGTTAACAATTGGAAAGGGATCTTAGTAGTTTCCTGTGAAGAACTCCCATCAACCCTGTCCAGTTGAAATAAAATATTAATCACAAATGTGAAGTAAGAATATAATTTTGATGGCCTCATCTAGGCTAACATTGAGAGGAATCTCAGAACACTTAATTGTGCTAATATGGAATCTATGCCTAGACTAAAGAAACTAGTCCTAGTGGTGCAAGGGAATACCCTGTGGTTTAAAATCAGGGAAGTTGTGTGTTAAGGGTCTATCTTTTCCCTATACTTATTCAGTCTGGGTCATTTCTGACTCAATGGTATGTAACAACAGGAACAACAATGATTCAGTCTTTATGCTGATCAAATAATTAATGAATCAATTAATTCAATTAAGGAGGATAGAAAGAGAATTGATGCATTTGAGCTGTGGTGCTGGAGAAGAGTATTGAGAATACCATGGACTGCTAGGAAAACAGATCCATCCCAGAAAGGGTTAAACTGGACGGCTCCTTGGAGGCAAGGATTCTGAGGTTCTGTCTAACATACTTTGGACATGTTGTAAGGAGGGACCGGTCCTTGGAGAGGGACATCATGCTTGGGAAGGTTGAGGGACAACGCAGGAGGGGAAGACCCTCTATGAGGTGGATTGATTCAGTGACTCGGGTAATCGGGATGGGTGTGTCGGAGACAGTGTGATTGGTACAGGACAGAGTAGAGTTTAGGGCTGTTGTACATAGGGTTGCTATGAGTTGCAAGCGACTCGACGGTTCATAACAACAACAACAACAATGAATTAAAGAGGAATGTGGCATCAGGTTTAGAGCAAGATTTATCAACAACCTGTTTTAATGCAGAAAGCACAACCTTGTTTGCTGAAAATAAGTGGATCTTGAAATACTTGTTGCAGATTAAGGACTATAGCCATGAATATGGATTATATCTCAATACCAGCACTAAGGAGATCAGGAGACATGTTACATTGGGTAAAATCTACTGTCAGGAACATCTCCAAAATACTGAAGAACAGTGACAGTCTTTTAAGCACTGTGGATCTGAGAGCTGGACAATGAAAAAGAATGACAGAACAGTAATTGATGCTTTTGAGTCGTGGTGTTGGAGAAGAGTACTGAATCTCCAGTTAACTGACAAAAACAGGTGTGTCTTGGTAAAAGTGCAACCAGAGTGCTCCTTGGAGGCAAAGATGACAACGCTTTTTCTCATACTATGAACATGTTGCTAGGAGAGGCTATTCCTTGGAGAGGGACTTCATGCTTGGAAAGTTGGAGAGTTCTCAAAAGAGAAGAAGACCTCCAACGAGATGGATTGACCTAGAAACTGTAACAGTGAGCTCAAGTGTGCCAGATGATGATGACGGCACAGGGTCGAACAGGGTCCAGGTTTGTTGTTTATACGGTCTCTCTCAGGTGGATTTGATTTAACAGCATCTAACAACAATAATCATCTATAGATAGAAAGATAGGCATTCTCCTCCTGTGTGATTTACTCCCTCTGAAAACCCACTAGAGGGTTATCTATGAGTTGGTCCTGACTGGATGGCACATAAGAACAACACTCTGTACAGTTTCGCTCAGCCTCTCTGGCAGTTTGGATTAACCAGTTGCTTAGAGGGAGAAAGATGAGCAGTCTTCCACTGTGTGATTTACAGCCTGAGAAGCCCTATAGAAGATCAGCTCTGAGTTGATTACAACTTGATAGCAATGACTTTTTTTTTTTAAAGTAACTAATTTAAAAGAAATAGCTAAAATTAATTTTAGTAATACTATATTATTAATGAGAGAGTTTACATTGGGGGCAGATACCTTCATCATCCTGCATGAATTTTTTATTTAGAGCATGCCTCTATGCAGACTAGCCACATCTGAAATGATGTGTCTAGCAAGTACCATACTGAGCAGCACAAATTTAGAAGAACCATAAGAGTGGTTTGATTTTCTTGAGACTGAGCAGGAAATGAAAGTTATGGACAGACAAAGGAAAGAGCTATTTAAAAGGAATATATGATTAGGCATTATTTGTATGGCAACAGTCTAGATAAGAGGTGTATAGAAAAGTGAACTGGGGAAGATGTTGGGGATGGGGAGGAAGGGAGGAAATTATGCAACAATGAATTTTTTGTTTTTTAAAGTGAACTGGATGGGGTAGGGAGGAAAATAGGCAACCATGATTGAATGAAAATCTAACTTTTCTGTATACTTTTGTTACAATTACAATTAAAAAAATAAAATTGAGAAGAATGAGAAGAAAAAAAAAAGAATGTTATGGACCAAGTAAAATGTACTGAGGATCTTGAACTCAGTGACCAACTGAGAGTATGCCAGGGTAAAAATAGAATAGCTAAGTCCAAAGAAACATGAAGTTTTTAACCCTTGTTCTGTGCAGTTAACCAAACTCACTGCCATTGTGTTGATTCCTTCTCACCTGTTGTTGTTGAGTACCATAGATTTGGAACCAACTCATAGCTGGCTGATGGGTTTTCAGAAAAAGTAAATCGCACAGGAGGAAATTGCCCGTCTTTCTTCCACAAAGCAACTGGTGGATTCCAACTGCTGGTTGGCAGCACAGTTACTTTCTACTAAACCCCTAGTGCTCCCTTATCCAACAAGAGGTTTTCAAAGCTTCAAATCTTTACATGAGGAAACAGCCCATCTTTCTACCTCAGAACACATGATACATTTGAACCACTGACCTTTTGTTTGGCAGTGGAACAAGTAATGCACCTTCTATGCCAAAATGATAAGATTATGTGGTTTTCATGCCAACAGTAGCATAAAGGGAATGCTCTATCTGGCATTGCTGTAAGCATTTTGAATGTATTAACTTGTCAAATATTGTAACTATTACCCTGTATGATAATTAGGAAAGTAATTATACAAACTTGATAGAAGATCTGTTGTATGTTCATATGTATATAGTTGTTATGGGCCATTGAGTTGGAAACAACTCATGGCTGATCCTCTGCTTTTCGGAGGCTATAAACTGCATGGGAGGAGACTGCTTATCTTCCTCCTTTGGAGAAGTTGGTAGACTGGAACTGCATGCTTTAGCATTGGCAGTGCAACTTCCTACCACTAGGCTTCCAGAGTGCGAGCGCTCTCGCTCGTGATCTCTGTCTCTTTCTCTGTCTCTCATTTTCTCTCTACCTCTCTCTCTATCTCTCTCCACTAAACTGGATCTTTAATCTTGGCTGTACCAATGAACAACTTCCATCCACCATGGGTGATCATTACTGCATTTGACACATTAGTGTCACAGTGTTTAGCATCACAGCAACCAGGAGTTACCTCTGTATAGCAAAAGGACAGACCAGTGCTGTATCACTCACTTAGAAGAATGTTTGGCCAAAATCAGTTAAAGCCAGGCCTGAGGGCCGCAGATTAAAATCACCCACCTTTGGTTTGGTAGCATAAATTTCTATCACTAGGACAACAGAGCTCTCCCTTTGTTGTTGTTGCTAAGTGTCATAGACGACTCATAGTTACCCTATAAATAAAAGTAAATTTAAAAGTTCTCAGAACAGTTATAATAGATTAAAATACACATATATAATTAGGACTTTTTTATTGTTTTGTATGGCCAAGTCAGAATCAATTTATAGCTGGCCCTCCAGCAGGTTTTCAGAGACAGTTAATTGCATGGGAGGAGGTGGCTCATCTTCTCTCACGTTGCGGCTGATGTGATCAAATCACGTGTCTTTGGGTTGCCAGAACAACTCCTTACCAATAAGCCACCAGAGCTCCCTAATTAGGACTTTATGAGATTGAAAAGTGACAGTGAGAATTTAGAATATATTTTGTTGCATATAGTAAGTTCATCCTGGAGAAAGGATGAAAGTTATACAGGAGGTGTCCAGGACTTTCGTTCATAGGGTTGCTGTGAGTCGCCGGCAGCTTGACAGCACTTACTACCACCACCACCACCAACAGCAGAGAGAGAGAGAGAGAATGAATGAATGAATAGTTGGCCTAGGAGACAGAAAGCCATACTTCCAAGCCAAAGGTAGGTGACTCGACTCTGTGGCCCTTAGGCCTGCCTTTTATTGGGTTTGGTCAAACATTCTTCTAGGTTGTGTAACCCTGGTATGTCCACTTACTGTACAGAGGTAACTCGTGGTTGCTGTGAAGCCGAATACTGTAACACTGATGAGTCAAATGCGAGAATGGTTACACATGGTGGACAGTGTTTGGTGAAACTCTCCAATTAAAACAAGTTTGGAAGCAGGAGTAGTATCTACTTCTACAATAGCTTGTTTCAGGAAACCCTAGAAACCTGGAGAAAGAACAAAAGTTATACAGGAGGTGTCCAGGACTTTTGTTCTTAGGGTCGCTATGAGTCTCCTGCGACTCGATGGCACTTAACAACAACACAACAGTAAGTTAATGATAAATGTTCATATTAGATTGAGCTGAGTAATGATAGGTGCTGAATCCTATGAAGTTTTGTGTGGGAGATGTAGACCTTGGCAGGAGGTAGGTGGAAGTGAATTATAAGGAACTGAAGTAGGATTCCAGGTAATGGAAGAATGTGAGGCAGGAAAATAATATGCATATTCAGAGACAGCAAAACATATACTTTGACTATATTGATGGGGTATTGCATGAGTATGTTGGTGTTAGAGAGTTGTTAGTATCCTATAAAGTGTACAGTTGTTCATTGACAGTGGAATATGGATGATGTGAGATAGATTGCTATACATTTATTGTTGTTGTTGTTATGTGCTGTCGAGTTGCTTGTGACTTATAGTGATCCTATGTAGCCAGGAAATCAGGAGACAAATTGCTTTGGAAAAATCAGCTGTGAGGGACCTCTCAAGAGCACTGAAGAGCAACAACCTCAAGCTGGAGACTAAGGTACGCCTGATCCAGGCTATAGTCTTCGCAGTTATGTGCTGTGCATTGGAGAGTTGGACAGTGAATAGGGATGATAGAAAGGGAATTGATGCCTTTGAGCTGTGGTGTTGGAGAAGAGTGCTGAATATACTATGGACTGCTAGGAGAACAAACAGGTTTGTCCTGGAGAGGGTGAAGGCGGAATGCTCCATGGGGTCAAGGATTGTGAAGCTTCATCTGACATACTTTGGGCATGTTGCAAGGAAGGACTGGTCCTTGGAGAGGGACATCATGTTTGGGAGAGTAGAGGGACGGCGCAGGAGAGGAGGAAGGCCCTCAATGAGATGGATCGATTCTGTGAGTGGAGTGGTGGGAATGAGTGTGTTTGAAATGGCGAGGTTGACACAGAATAGAACAGCATTTAGGGCTCTTGTACAGAGGGTCGCTATGAGTTGCAGGCGACTTGATGGTCCATAACAACAACAACATGTACAAGAGCCCTAAAACCTACTCTATCCTGTGCCAACCTCACTGTCTGTGACACACTAAGGGCTATAAATTTCATCCAGTCATATTAATGGATGTAGCTTTAAAAAAAATTTCTATTAGTTTATTTTCAAAATTTGAATACATTATTTTCAAGAACAAATTGTTCAGTGTTCCTCCCCCCCCCCATCAAATTGTTCAACCCCATGACTAATCCTCCTCCCCCTGCACATCCTCATCCCTCTGCTTCCAACCTCTCCCACCCCTCTTGGATTCGTATACTCCTACAACAATGGTTTTATACAATATCTATCCCTGTGGGACTGAGCTAGTTCACTCAGCATAATGATCTCCAGCCCCTCCCAAGTTAGGTAATAATTTACAAAGTCTTGTTCTGCATGATGCATAGTATTCCACTGTGTTAATGTACCATAATTTATGAATCCACTCAGTTGTGGTTGGACGTTTGGACTGTTTCCATGTTCTTGCAATGGTGAATAATGCTGCCATGAACATTGGTGTACAAATCTCCATTTGGGCCTCAGTTTACATTTTCTCAGGGTATATTAAGGATGAAAGTCATGCAAGTGTTGAGGACTTTCATTCATAGGGTCACTGTGAGTCGCCTACAACTTGACGGCACTTAACAACAACAACAACATATTCCAAGTCGTGGAATAGCTGGGTCATATGGAATTTCTGTGTTCAGCTTTTTTGTGTCATTGAGTTGATTCTAGCTCTGCAATCTTGTAAGACAGAGTAAAACTGCCCTTTAAGTCCTCTAGGAAGATAATCTTTATGTAAAGGAGCCTTGATGGTGTTAATTAAGGGCACACAGAAAGGATGGCAGTTGGTACCCACCAAGCTGCTCAAGTATATGTCACAGTCTACTTCCATGAAGACCGACTCAACTTCAGTTGGTAATTCTTGCAGAATACTGACACATCTTTCTTCCATAGAGTGGCTTCTGGGTTCAAACTGCCAACCTATTGGATAGCCTCCAAGTAGCTTCACCACTACTCCTTATATTGATGCATGTTGTTACTTTTAGGTGCTATTGAATTGACTATGACTCATAATTTTTCATTGAAAAAGTATTTGATTAAACTTGAAACTTTTCACTAGTTTTACTAATTTGACAGTATTTATGGGTTGCTATTTAGGGTAATATAAGTCATGCTTGCCCTTTAATCTGTGGGGTTTTTTTGGTCTTTTAGTATGTGGTAACTGAATGACTCCGAACTCATCGTTCCTTTGTATATCAAAGAATGAAATGCTTTCCAGACAGTCCTATACCATCCTAAACATTGCTGTGTTTGAACTCATTATTGCAGCTGCTATGTCAGTCCATCTCCCTGAGTGTGTTACTCTTTGTCACTGACCCTGTAGTTTATGTAAGGAGGTCTGGTAGCCTAGTGAGTAAGTAGTTGTCCTACCAACCCAAAGACATGTAGTTTGAATCCACCAGCTGTGCTGTGGGAGAAAAGTGAGTAATCTTCTGTGCAATTTAACAACCTCTGAAAACCTACTAAAGGGATCAACTGTGAGTCAGTTCTGACTTCAAAGCAGTAAATGAGAGAGCTCCTTTACTAAAGCACCATGTCCTTCTCCAGGGGACTGATCCCCTTAATAACATGTCTATAGTGAGTCAAACAAGTCTTGCCATACTGTAAGATAGTGTTTTATTTCTGCTGAGTTTAATCCTCTGTGATTAAATGATGCTGAATAAGTGTATGTCAGCATTCAACATAAAGTAAGTGCTTACAGTTGAATGTCTATTAGAATCTTTCCTAAGAATCAGTGCTTATAGCTTCAAATATGGCACAAACAACTAACTGGCTTATCATTTATCTCTTAGAGCAATGGAAGTTATAAAGACTTTTTTCATTTAGCTCTGTAAACCTTGGAATCTCTTGTGAGTTTTTGTTGTTTTAATAATTTATTAAGTTCATATACTAGTGTTTTACTTAATGTTTGAAAAGTTGAGGGTTTTTTAAACTATGTCTTGGGAAATTTATTAAGCAGTTACATTCATCTACATAATTTTTTTAGGTAACTTGTCCAGGAGTGGTGCTAAAAGATAAGGAGGACATCTATCTTAGCATCTGTGTGTTTGGCCAATACAAAAAGACACAATGTGTCCCACCAGCTTTTCCATTGGTCTTCAATGCCAGAATGGTGTTTGAAAAGGTGAGTTCAAAGGCCATAGTAAGTATTAAGAAAACATGGTTCCAAATTTTCAAAGAAAGCCCAGAACACAAATTATTATTGTTGACTTGTGCTTTAGTTTTGTTTTTTTTTAAATGAACATTGTAATTGAAACTGGAAGCTTGATAATAAGCACACATTATTTTATGCATTAAATCAGTTGTCTTTTAGCCTGACAGTTTAGTTTATTTCTAAAATACCTTTATTCAATTTTATATAAAACAGTTTTTTATTTAATAGCTCAGTGACTTCCTGGATAATAGCTGTCATTAAAAAATAATCATTATGACTTCACTTTTTTCTATAAGTCTTCTGATCCATAATATTATCTTTTTTTGATTTAATATTAAAAGTAATATTTTCTGATTTTTTTTTTTACTGTTTGCTTTACTCCTTCCCTCACACAGTAATTGTCCCCTATCTGCTCTGTAGAATGCACTCATGAATGCTCTGAATTTGTAAAACTCATTGCCATTGAGTTGGAACCACCTCATATCTAACCCTCCATTGGGTTTCAAAGGCTATAAACCAAATGGGAGGAGATTTCTCCTGAAGTGTGACCTTTGGGTTGCCAGTTCAATTCCCTATGGACTGTGCAGCCAGACCTGTCTTTAGACAATGAGGATACATGACAAACAAGACAAACACTTGCATTCTTGAAATGCTTATTTTATTAGGACAAACAGACAATAAATTCATGAATGTGTGAATAATATAATTTTAGGTAGTGATATGTGTCAGGAGGATAAGGGGATAGAGAAGGATTGAAGGATTCAGGTGGTTGGCTGTTTTAAAGGGTGGACATAGCAGATAATAGCATTTAAACTGAGCTTGAATTGTATATGGTACATTAACAGTCATTTGAAAAAAAAAAACAGTCATTTGAAGTTTGAGGGAAGAGTAGTATTCTGAGCAATGGGAATAGCAACTGTAGATTTGTTAGGAATAAGCGTGATGAGTTGTAGGCATATCAAGAAGGACAGCATCACTGGTTAAAAAAAAGGGGGGGGAATAATACTAGCAAATGAAATTGGAGAGGGGACTAGAGTCAGTCATAAAAGTTTATTCATTCATCCCTTTGTTGTTCATTTATTCATTCATTCATTTGGTCACTGGTCATTAAGAGCAGAAAAGAGGTGATAATACCCAGTAATATAAAAAATTTCTTTTTGGGGAAAGAAATGGGATTTTGGGAATGAGATAGAAGAAATGAAAGACTGTCTTATATTTATCTTCCTTTTACTTCCTCTTTCCTTATCTGCTTCCGCCTACATGGGCCCTCATTACAGGTGTTCCCTGAAGCAGTGGACCCTGGAGATGTGGTTACACAGCTTGAATGTAAGTTGTTGATTTTTAACTTCTTACTTCTAAGATGTTTCACATTTTATCACCCATATGCTCTTTAATCATGAATAGAATAAAAGTTAAAGAGCCTAATTGTTGTTGTTGTTATGTGCCGTCCTAATAGAAGTTTAAAAAATGTTAAATAGGGACATTTTTGTACTTGTAGAATTTCACGATGTTCTTAGAAGTGATAAAAAGAAGAAATTAATACTCTGTAATGAGGCTGGAGCTACTAACTTTTCTATCTGTGGTCTTTGGCAAACACAAAGTAGGGACTGATTGAAACTTTTTGTTAAGATGATAGGAAGTATTTGTCATGTAACATTAGAGATTTATATATTAGTGTTTTTACTCTGCAAACAACATATATCTTTAAAATATATATAAGTATATCTTTAGCCTCAATGTATTTTAAATCAAGAGAGTTACAATATAAGATCAAAGAGATTTTATTAAAATAGACATTATATTTTATTTTTAATTACATTTAAAATGTCAGTAAATTATTTGGATGATAAATTTCTAAGGCTATGTAAGCTTTTCCAAGTATTAGGATTTGATGTTGTGTACTTGGGACTCATGGTGACCCTATGCACAATAGCTATGATCCCTGCCCTATCTTGAGCCAATCTCACTGCCTCTGATATACATAACCTTATTACCTCAGTTACTGTGGCAATCCATCTCTCTCCTATTCGGTTCCTCCACCCTTCTAAGCATGGTATACTTCTCCAAAGACTGGTCCTTTTGGGCCACATGCCCAAAATATGTCAGCTGGAGCTTCAAAATCTTTGCCTCCAAGGAGCAACTTAGTTTTAACCTTTGCAGGACAAAGCTGTTTTTTTTCTTGGCAGTGCATGATATGTTGAATACTCTTATCTAGCACCACAGGATAAAATTATTTGTGCTAACAGTAACTCAGAACTGTATACTTGGAAAAAAATTTTTAAAACTCTAAATATAAAGTGAAAAGTCTCCTGGTAACTAGAAAGGGATTTGGAATCACCAGATTGCCCCAGTGTACTACCCTGGCTCAAAATACTAACAAAACTGGGCATTATCGTCATTTCCCCTCTGATTCTTTCTTTGCCCACTCTCCTGAACCTTGAATTCACTGGGCCTTTAGTAACATAAGGAACATGGAGCTTGGCACTGTACTAAAATGTAGGCACATAGGGAGGAATAAGGACCTTGGCCTTGTTCATAATATTAAGTGATTCTCCTCTAGAGAAATCTTCATGACTGGTACCAGTCTTGTCCCCTTACTTCATTTCATTTTTGTTGTAATTCTTATATTTGATATTGTATCTTCCACTGTGCCAAGTTAGCTTGGTGACACTTTAGTGCTAGCAGGTACATGTCTTTTCTTACTTATTAAGAATTTCACTTGTTATCTGCGAGTTTGTACATCTTAAAAATTACGTAGATGGTATTTTTTTTCACATCAGTCTAAATATATTCCTTTACAAATTCATTTGCTTTCCCCCACATATGATTTAAAATTTTGTGGCTTTAAGAACATGTTATGAAATGATTATTAGTTTTTGAAAATTATCTTGTTTTGGTTTTCTTGTTTCTATGTTTCTGTTTGCCTCTTCCCACCCACTGACGTTTCAGTTTTTGGGATCCTCAAATTTCATTCTCTGCTCTGTTTTTAAATATTGGTGTTATTGGTCATTTTTCTAATCTTATTTTACTTCCCTTCTACTATATTTTTAGGTACAGTACTCTAAAGGATTTGGCTTTATTTTTTTATTTATCTTCTGTAACTTCTATCAGTTTCTCTTCTGACATCCATTTTGGTCTTTTCTTCCTCTTCTGTCTTTGCAATGACCGTTTGCACTCTTCCTGGATGATACCCTTGATATCCTCCCACA